TGGAGCCACAGGCTGAGGCTGTATTGTGGACAACGCTTTCAGGAATCACAAAGGCTGCAGACAGTTTCACTTCCGCCGTTTATCCTGCTCAGGTTCTCTCTACCCATATTCTGAATTGCTATCTAACCCTTTGCCAGGCTAAGCTAACAATGTGATATTTCAAGGTCAAACACAAGGAAGACTTCTAGGTGACTGAAAAGATGAGGCTTGACAGTCTTGTGACTTTAGGGACAGGCCCAGACTGTTTGCCAAGCAACAATATGGAAGTGCTTTGCCACTTTCTTCCTCTATTTGTTTGTTGTAGTTGTTTTACTCCTAAATTTAACTTGTAGCTTTCAGGTTTCACAGGGACCTCCTAACCGGGTGTCACCTAGGCTTCATCCTGCTCAGCTTTTTCAAATCGGCCAAGGTGAGCCAACTTTTGCCATTTGATTTCTAGCGATATTTAACCCCATTTCTTCAGTGTTGTTAAAGCTGTATGGCCATTACTTCTTTGATGTTTTGTTATTCTTTATGGTACCAACTTGCCAGCTTAAATTCTGGGCAAACGTGCCCTTAATGCAAAAATTTTAGCCTTACTTCACAAAAGACAGACTCTGGGGCTCATGTTGCCATTTCCCCCCAACCAGCAATAATAGAATATAGCAATAACACTTAGACTTGTATACCGCTTCCCAGTGCTTTACAGCCCTCTCTAAGCTGTTTACAGACTCAGCATATTGCCCCCCAACAATCTGGGTCCCTTATTTTACCCACCTTGGAAGGATGGAAGGTTGAGTCAACCTTGAGCCGGTGAGACTTGAACTGCCAAACTGCTGGCAACCGGTGATCAGCAGAAGTGGACTGCAGTACTTCATTCTAACCACAGTGCCACCACGGCTCACATATAGCATATAGCCGTGATGGCAAACCTATGGCACGTGTGCCAGAGGTGGCACGCAGAGCCCTTTCTGTGGGCATGCTAGCCATCAGCAACTGTTCTTCTGGTTTCCAGCACACGCATGCACGCCAGCCAGTTGGTATTTGCGCGTGCCGGAGCACCAGAAACCCAAAGACCAGCTGGCGGGTGCGCATGCGTGTGCCGGAAACTCAAAGACCAGGTGGCCAGTGCATGTATGCTCATCGGCCAGCTGGTCTTCGGGTTTCTAGTGCTTTGGCGCACGCATGGCTGTTCACACACATGCGTTCCAATTTGGGCACTCGGTGCTGAAAAGGTTCACCATCACTGGCATATAGCATGAAAAGCATGGCCCTCCCAAAGCGTTTGGGTGAAGGCATTAAATCTTGGGATGGGAGCATTCTGGAGGAATCTGCTCAATGCAGAAGGGAAGTGTTCAGGCCAGGCTTTTTTTTGTCCTGCAGTTTATAGAACCAAAATGTTATCCTTTGTTTACACTCCTTGATTAATAATTCTTAACATGTTTTTATTGTACATTTATCACTATCCAGCAGTAGGTTTGTATGGTATGCTTTTAGCAGTCTTAAAGCATCTTTATATTGGGTGTAGTTTTATTTCAAGGCATCCTTGCCCTGGCATAGTTAGCTTTTAATGCAGAGGTCAGGCACAAAATGAATTTCTGCATCCCGAATTGAATGACAGAATGCAAAGAGTGTGAGAGGAAAGATGGTGTGCCCCATCACATTAGTCATTTTATGGCTGTCTCTCTGCGGACAGTTTCTTCAGGGAGAACAATAATTGCTGTGATTGACTCTTGTGGTAGATTAAAAAAATTTTTTTTAACATCCACTTTCTCACCTACTGGAATGACAGTGTTATCATTAATTGATTGTCCAGGTAGCTAATCTTTTTTAGAACCTAAATTAGAATGGAAGATCCGGACCACTCCAGTTGTTAAATTCATTGGAATTTCTGTAACCGCAAGAGTGTCTTTTTAGTAAAAGGAATCCTTGAGAGAGCATCTAAGTGGATTGCAAAGTAGAAGGATGAAATTGGGAGGTGCACAAAACAGAAAATCTTTTCTTTGAAACCTGAACTGATTGTACTACAGAATTTCTGCTGAACTCTTTTGGATTAGCTGCAGCTCAACTGAAAAAAACCCTGGACTCTTGGTTGTTTTAGCAGGTAGCAGAAGCTTTACCTAGCAGGATCTCAGACTGATGTTACAGGGCAAATAGAGTAAGATGGTGGGCATTGGTCCCTCTTCACATGGCTCGTTCACTACCCCACCTCCACCATCTTCTCAAGGTCTTCTTGCCTTCCCAGCTGTTGCTGACATTTCCCAAGGAAACCCCCTCCTCCTCCACCACAGAATTTATTTTCAGAACAAAAATGTTTGAATTGGTTCCTGTGTGCACCGAAACACCAGAAGACCACATGATTTGATTTGGGTTAAACTATTCAAAACCTACTATTTAGTTCCCCGATTGAGTCACCAAGGGAGAGTTTTGTACAGTGCTGGACGCAGTGAAGATGCCGTACAATAGACTGAAAACTGGATGGGGCAATTAATTGGGAGTGTTTCATTACATGCATAATTCCAAACTCCACCATATCTTGCCGTTTCTTATCTCTCAGAAGTATCATTTCTTTTTGAGAGCTAGAAGGGAGGAGACTCGATGGATTGAGAAGTGTACTGCAGCACCCAGGCCAGAAGGGATGCTAATGAGATATAATAATAACAGTGCAAGGGCAAGTCCAGGAATTCCCCCTCCCTCTAAGTGGAACCTGGTTATGATGCAGCATACAAGAGGGCTGTCTTTTCCACATAGGAAAATATAAGTGTCCTGGTAAGAGCGAGTTTACTCATTGGTGATGCCCATGACTGTAAATCACCAGTTCTACAGTAGTTTTGTGTTAATGGAAATTATGCAAAGTGTATGCATTAATGCTCATTTGCATGCTTTGCTTTGATGGCATAGAATATGGGACTCTCTTTCATTCTTTGGAATTATGTCAGAAGTTGTGGGTCAGTGAAAATTTGCAGTACAACTTACCCGTACGCTTCTCCTTGCAGCTAAAATATTCCTGTGATTTGCAATCCATAGAAATGTCATCAGTTCTCTCCAGTTGCAGAAAACGCTTAACTTCCACTGACTAACCGGCTTCAGGAACACCTGCAATTTATTTATAATCTGGGCAGCAATACTTAACTCCTAATATGCTTGATTATATATATTCATTAGAATCTAGCTTTAGTGTGAATACTTTTGCAGTCAATCACTCTTGCCTCCCTTATTCATTTTCAGGCTTCCTTCAAATTAAAGCTTTGATCTTAAACTTTCTTGCCATAAAAGTCAGGCTTGAGAGAGCCAGTTTTTTCCTCCTTTAGCAGAAGAGTAACTATCCTTTGAAAACCCTGCTTGAATCTGTCTCGGGTAAAGAAGGCAATATATGCCTTTTAGTGCTTGGGTTGCTCTTTGCTGACTATTCATAACTGCAGGCTTGTGAAAAGTATCACTCATGAGATTGCTTTTATGTTAATATCAAGTGAAAGATTTTAGCGCTTTGATCAGAACTAGATTGGTCAAGGGGACAAAAAAAGGGACAATGGGCCAAGCTGTTAGTTCTTCTATTGGTTTAAACACGTGCCCCTTGCTCTTCTCCCTATTATCGATGCTGTAACAGCTATTTCTACAGCCTGATATTTTTTCCAGCCTGATTTTCTTTTCCTTTAAATTGTGCTTCTCAAGAAGAATGTTTAAATGATAAAACTAGCAAGCTATTAGCCAGTTTATGAGAAACATCTATTAATTTCTGAATTATTGCTGCTGTTATCTTCTACAGACCAGTTGTTTCGGAATATAGGGGTTCCACAGATAGTGTCTTCTTTCTCTCTTCCTTTTTCCTAAAGTAAAACATATCTTTTTCCTAAAATAAAACGTATCTTTTATTTTATGTACACTGAGAGCATATGCACCAAGACAAATTCCTTTTATGTCCAATCACACTTAGCCAATAAAAATTCTATTCAGTTTCCATTAACAAATGTGGAATACATAATAGAGGATGATGGTCCAACTGAATTGATTTTAATGTGGAACAGTAAATTATAACTCTGTTCACTTAACGTCTGTAGAGATTCTCAATCATTCAGGACATGGTTGTCCCAAAGGTGCTTTTTTTTTCAGGAAGCAACTGGACTTTCTTGTTTTTTCTTTGAAGGCGTTTTACTTTTCATCTAAGAAGGTTCTTCAGCTCTGACAGGATAGTGGGGAATGGAAGGATTTACTGTATTTTTCAGACTATAAGACGCTCTGGACTATAAGACGCACCTAGCTTTTGGAGAGGAAAACAAGAGGAAAAAAATCTGCCTCCCAGCAATTTGCCTCCTTGCAGCAAACAGCCTGGTCAGCACGAGCAGCTGATTGGCGGTTGGATCAGCCCATCAACTGTTCAAGGCTGCGGGGATCGCCGCCCATCGCCACTGTCACCTATCACTACCTCTGCAAGCTCCATTTTCGGCCTCTACACATCCCATTTTTGGCCTCCTTTTGGCCCGTTCCAGGTGGTGGGGATTGCCACTGCCTATTTCCGCTGCCTGGAATGGGCCAAAAATGGGGTGCGTGGAGGCTGAAAATGGGGCGTGCGGAGGCCAAAAATGGGGTGTGCGGAGGCAGTGATAGGTGGCAGCGGCGATGGGCGGCAACCCTGAGGCCACAGATAAACCTCCAAGAGCTTCAAGGACCATCTAAAAGGATGCAGATTATCAACTGTCTGCAAGGAAGATAAATCCTTCCATTCCCCACTATCCTGTCAAGCTGAAGAAGCTTCTTGGATGAGAAGTGAAACATCTTCAGAGAAAAAACACGAAAGTCCAATTGCCTCCTCAAAAAAAGCACCTTTGGGTCTGTTCACTTGAGTTAGATATAAAAGGTTGAGCTAGAAGGTATCATGTGTTTGGCAAGAGAAAACTACCGAATCTTCAGAGAGTTGTTGGGACTAGTTTAAATACTGTTTCTGAGTGCTGCCATATTGATACCATGTTGATCAAGTGATGGAGTCATTAACTATAATTCTGTTCTTCTTCTGTCTTCTTCAGATGTGCACACCCAGCAATACTCCAGCCACACCACCCAATTTCCCAGACGCTCTAGCAATGTTTTCCAAGCTGCGGACTTCAGAGAATCTCCAAAGCAGCAATAGTCCCATTACGTCCATGGCATGTTCTCCTCCAGGGAGCTTCAGCCCTTTCTGGGCCTCTTCGCCTCCCAACCACCAACCTGCCTGGATCCCTCCTTCATCACCCACCAGTCACAATCTCCACCATCATCTCCACCATCAGCAGCCCATGTGGCCTCCTGTGTCTCAGCCAGCGCCCCCCCAGCAGAAAGCCATGGCAGCAATGGATGGCCAGAGATAAGACTTGACGTTTTTGGAATGGGAAAGAAGATGGGGCAAGGGGGGGAAGAGGATATGGCAAATCTGAGGCACGGGAAATGGGAGGGGGGGCATTTTTTTTTCTCTGAAGATCGCACTGGAATATTTTATAGTTTTTTTTTTTTTAAATTGATGAAATGTCATCAGTTATCCCCATGATCCTTTTCTTCTTTTTCTTCTTTTCTTCCCCTATCCGCTCTTCAGGAGAGTTAATAACTGGTCTCTTCTCTTTTTTAAAAAGAAAAAAATATATATAACTATAATATATAAATATATAAATATATCTAATGTATATATACATCACAAATGAAAGCAACGGAATTGCAAAGATCCAGGTGGTATTCTAAGAACGCTGCTTGGAAAGAGAGGCAGCTGCTTTGAAAACAGGATAAAGGTGCCTCCCTTGAAACATGTAGGTGGGGGGGGGCTCAAAAATCGGGGGCTCTCTTGTTTTTGTTGTCCTCTTCTTTCCCCATTGGTTCCCGGGGATGTGGCAATACCTGTAGCAGCTAGAGGGTTGAGGGGCCTTGGGAAAAGAGTCATTGAAGGAAGCCACGCGTCCAAAATTGTAGCTGCCCTTGTCCTTGTGTGAAGAGACCAGGGCTGGAAGAAGTTGCAGCTGAGACATGGGCCTGTCTCAGACCTGTTCGGCAGAAGATTATCTGCTGAAAGAATCCAGCCTCCCTTCTCCATCAAAGTGGGGGTGATTTTTTGTTGTTGTTAATTTTATGCTGCAGAGGCTGCTCCACAGAGTTTTCCTGTGGGCTACAGGAGAATCTGATAATAAATAAATTAAGGCAAAATGCCTCTGCTGTTAGACACTTTGGGGACTTTCCTCTTCAAACAGCATGTTGATCTTGGCCCACAACTTTGTGTACACATAAGAAGTCTATTTTTTGCTCTCTCATGTCTCGGGCAGGAGTTAATATATGTGCACTCTAACAAAATAATTTTGATAGCCAGCTAGCTCTTTCTCCTTGCAGCAGGCTGGATTTTTTCCCCCTTGCTGGTGTTCTCTTCTGCTATTGTTTTTTTTTCCCCTTTCTTTTAAGAAGGGGAAAGATGCTCTAAGTTGAGTACAAATTTTTATCTACATTTCCCCATTTTGGCCTATTGAAACTTTCATGATGGCTGCAACAGGTACATCCCAAATCACTGAAACTTGTATCTTACCATGAACTGAAATATCTTCTTGTCCTACTTCCCTCCCTCCCTCCTTCCCTCCCCTCTTGGAAAAATTTTCCCCCTTCAACTCTCCGGCTGATTCCCTTTAAAAAGGACAATGTTTAAGCATTGGGGAGGCTCATCCAGAAGGGGAAACAGCTGAAATTTTCAAAGGCATATGCATCACGGAGACACGAGCTATTATAGAAGATGGATCTGTTGAAGGAAGGCTCCCGAACGCTCCCTTCAATCCAATGGCAGGCTAAGAGTTGAGGTTCTACATTTTTTAGGTTTTAAAATCAGAATCTTGCTTAAACAGGTTGAAGGTTTTTTATTAATTTAAAAATAAAAAAAAACACTTTTTTAATCTGACTGGTCCTTGTTTTTTGTCCTTTCAATTCTTTGTTGCTGGAGACCCTCAACGTAAAAATAGAAGCTGTCTCTTAAATCTCATAATTAAGAATTTATAAGAAGACAACAGGTAACATTGCAACTGCCAGCTGAGTTTGTGCATACAAGCCAATAGTTGTCAGTATTATATTTGCATTCCTTCAGAATTACTGTTACATGGCAGGTTTTTTTTTTAAAAAAATAAAACACTTTGATGCCACATTCTTTAGCCACAACAGTTTAACAGAGCAGTCTGCCCAGGAAGGATCAGGAAGAGCCAACGGTGAATAAACTGAATAACCCAGTAACCTACAGAGAAGGCCAGAGGGAGTGGTGGCACTTTGCCTTTGTTGAGTTGTTGGGTTTTTTTTCTTTTTCTTTTAAAAAGTTTCCTGTGGTTCCACCAGGAAACAATATGTGCTACCTCTAAAGCTGACATAATTCTTTCCCCAGAGTCTAGAATGACATCTTTTAGTGACAGAGAGCTTCCCTTAGCAAGGGGTGCAGTGAGTGCCTTAAACTTCCTGAAGTATTAAAAATGAATTTCACCCTTAAAACCAACCTTTCACCCTATCTACATCACCCAAAGAAGAAAGGTGGGTTTGAGAATTTCAGCTTCATTCCTCAGAGTATTTTGACTACAATGTAGAGGGACAACATCGATGCATCCATATGTTATCAATTGTCTACCTCTGATTGAAAGGGATCTTCAGTCTTTTCAGACTAGTGGCATCTCAGCAATTCTGAGAGGGTATGAACGGTGCTGTCAAACCAGCTGCCTTCTTGAGTGTGGCCAATAACAAAATGTCTTTGTAATGGAAAGCATAGCTTTTGAGCTACCATCTCTCCCCATTCTATTTTTTAACAATCCTTGTGGGAATAAGGTGGGGCCCAGAAGCATTGTTGAAAGTGCTGGTTATGCTTGAGGCTGTTGCTTTGCTTTGAGGGTGCCAGCTTCCTGTGCATGATTTTCAATTCAAATGATTTAAACTTTGGTAGAGAAGGGATTTTGGCAAGTGCTGAGGATCTTGTTGGCAGGCTGATTGTTGTCCCCGGGCAGCATGTTGATGTCCAGAGATGATAACGTTAGAATAAGAAGCGAAGAACCAGATTCAGCCATGGAGTTGCTCAGCCTAAGTTGAATTTCAGTAGTAATGTTAACATTTTGCCTAATCGCCTTATGTCGGTTGAAAGTTGATTTTGGTGACCTGGATTTAACACAAAAGCCTGACAATATGGTTCTAAGGCCGCAGTAATAGCTGAATGAACCAGAGCAGAGCCTTGATTCTCAGCTCTGCTGATCTGTGGCTTGAAATGAATGCTGTCAACAGTCAGCTCATCATGTAAACCAAAGAGGCTGAAAGCTATAGCTTGTCTAAAATGTGTTTGTAGCCTCTACTGCCCATGTGTTTCAAATGAAAAATTTTGCCACATAACAATGGGGCAGAAGGATCTGTTTTCTGTAATTGCATGCTTGTTGAACTGGCTTGTTGACTTACATAACTCTGATGTACATTTTACACTTGTTTCTGTAATTCAGTTAGGATTGCGGGCATGTAGGATTGCGGGCATGGGAGAGTGGGAATGTGCTCAGAGGTAACTTCTTTAATTCATGGCTTGCTTCTCATACCAAGGACCGGGGGTGAAATCCAGCAGGTTCTGACAGGTTCTGGAGAACCGGTAGCGGAAATTTTGAGTAGTTCGGAGAACCAGCAAATACCACCTCTGGCTAGCCCCAGAGTGGGGTGGGAATGGAGATTTTGCAATATCCTTCCTCTGCCATGCCCACAGAACTGGTAGAGAAAAATTGTGAATTTCACCCCTGCCAAGGACCATGCTAAACTTACATGGCTTCCCTCCCACAATAGAGAGTTCTGATTGTGCAAACTTCAGATCTTCTGCCTAGAGTCCAGCCAGCAGGGTGTTATAAGCAATTAGACTGAGTTGAATAACCCCATTTCTCTCTCCCCCCCCCCCACTCAAACATACAACATGTTTCAAATTGCAACAGAAACTTCAGTGGACATAAAATGTGACAGCAAGGAAACCAACCGGTGTTTGTTACCATAATACAGAGCTTTGGACTGCTGATGTCCATATATTTTTAAAGAAGATGTTTCCTTATTTTACTCACAAAGGAGATTCGGGATGATTCTTTTTGTCCAGGTTCAAGAAGCAGCTGATAAATTACAAGGCAACACAGTGTGTAAACAAGAGTTAACTGGGCAGCTGTTGCTAATGGACTGCTTATTGCTCTTTGAAAGCATCAGTGAGCAGCTGTGGCAAAAGGTATTTTGGGAAGGAAAGAAGAACTGGCTGGTTGTATTGTATTATAAGACGTTTGGCTTCTGTCTGTTATACCCTTGGACGGCTTTGTTGTACTTTGTCTAGGGGTAAAATGGCAAGGAGGGTTTTAGTCATTGAGGCTTACGCTGTAGAAATAAACCAAATTTTCCTTTGAAAAAATAGAAATATTTGTAACTATGTAAGCATTGAAAGACTTTTCCAAGAATGTACATATATTGATGGGGCTTGTGTGAAACAGATACAATATAAAGTGCCTCTATTTAGGATGTGGTATGTGGCATATCCCATTGTATGCACCACTCTGCATTTAGCTGCATCCTTCTTCCCTTTAAATTTATTTGATGTATTGTGGCTATTGGGCATTTCCAGACCACTTTACGTTATTTGAGGCTTTTTCTATCTATTGTCTTTTTCTATTTTTTTTTTTACTTCAATGTTCTCTGAAGCCTGCTAATTTCTACCATCTAATTCTCTCTCCCTGTCTCTTGCATTTGAATTACTATTAGAATAAGGTGCTACTGCATCTAAATGGTAATATTATGGCTTTCTCTGCACATCTTGCTTCAAGTATGCGTGTGTGTGTGTGAGAGAGAGAGAGACAGGCAGAAAATCTTCCTTACTGTAATATCCAGTGTCATAATTATGATGTTGTGGATGGGGAATTCATTGCTGAGAACAATGTCCTGGAGCTTCAAGTTTGAAATTCTAATTCAGCCGTTTAGAAGTATCAGGCTGTTAAAATATTTCAGTAAGGTGCGTTGCAAGGCATTTATTTAGAATTAGATTTCTAAATAGAAATCAGATTTTTTTAAAAAAAAAAACTGGTCTCCAGAAACTTCAACTTCAAAATCAAATTGATTGCCAAGTGCTGGGCATCTGTGCTTAGAACTATGAGAGAATAGGTTGGCTAAGTAGGTAGATTTGATGGTTAAAGGTCAAAATAAGTGAATGTGTGATAAATATTTATGGAATGGATCCTGCAAGGACAAAATGTTTGGGCCTATGTGGTTCACAGGTAGTCCTTGATTTGCAACAGTTCCATTTACTGACCAAAGTTACAATGGAACTGAAAAAAGTAACATGACTATTTTTCACGCTTGTGACCATAGCGAGGATCCCTATAGTTATGTGATCAAAATTTGCCCACCAATTGGCAACTGGTTTGTATTTATGACGGTTGCAGTGTCCTGGGGCTACATGGTCACCTTTTGTGACCTTCTGACAAGCAAAGTCAATGGGGAAGCCAGATTCATTTAACAACCTGGTTACTAACTTAACTGGAGTGATTCACTTAACTATGGCAAAAAGTGATAAAGTAGGGCAAAATTCACTTAACAAATGTTTCACTTAGCAACAGAAATTTTGGGTTCAATTATGGTCGTAAATCAAGGACTACTTTTGTTTTTCAAAACAGTGGACGGTTTCTATTCATCAAGGCAAAGTGGGCAGAGCCCCCTTGCTTTGGATAACACCAAATCAAAGTTTACATTTATCATTTGTGAAGAAAAGCCATCACTTCCTTGGTTCAACGAACCAACTGATTTGTTGAAGAATGGAAAACTACTGTTACTGTTTACACTTGTAAATTCAGACATTTTGTGCAGATATTGTGCAACTGGAAAGAAATTAGTAGGGAGAACAAAGTGCTTTCGTGTTTTAAATAAGTCAGAAGTGGCATTCCTCAAGAGTTAGTCATGGGCCCATATTAGGAAATACTTTAGTAGTAACCTGGGTAATGGCGGTAGGAGCCTTTTAATTAAGCTTGCTGATGGCGCCACAGTCACCTGCATTGTCAATACAGATAGGGATCAGGCCTAAATGCAGCTTGACCTGGCTGACGTTATGAGCTGAAATAAGGGCTTAAAAAGAGTACAGTCATGATCTGGAAATCGTGTGCTAGGAGTGACTCAATTTTTTTTATAATAACTTTATTGGATTTTTAAATAAGAAAGATTAAACACTAATATTTAAGATGAAGGAAGGAAGGAAGGAAAGAATGAACAATGCCAAAAGTATGGGGTGGGGGTGGGGGTGGGAAGAGAAATAAAATTTTCTGTCTTTGTTCTACAATGGTTATAGGAATAAATTTAAAAGAAGCTATAGTTACAATATAACTCATTTTTTCTATTATTCTAATTGTCAAACCCATTTGTCATAATTTCTTTTTTCCCCCCTGTTTCGTGCAAGTCCAAAGGGGGTTTCCAATAGGCATTAAACTTAATTAGTGTTTTTTCTCTAATCAAGGCTATCTGTTGAGCCATCTTTGCAAGTTCCATCCACCTTCACCATACACTCTTGGGATTGGCTTGCATCTTTTAGAAAAGAAAAAAAATTCCTTGTGGTGACAATGCTCCAAACCACAAAGACTTCCTAGCCTTCTAAATATCTTGCCCCTTGATGAAGTAGGATTTTGAGTCTGAAAAATAAGTCCGCCATTCTCCTCTGGGACCTCTTCGGGTGGCTTTTGGCAAGCAGATTATTACTGTGACCACCACCATTTTGTTCTAACTTGCAATAGGAACAGTTTACAAGTGGTTGTAAGATGGCATGATCAATGTTTTCAACATTCAAAAGCTGTGTATCGGCCTTGTGTTTATTTTTCTCTCGTTGGTACTTCTGGGGCACACCGCAATTGGTGGGAGTCTTGCTGTCCCTATAAGAGCAGGAATT